GGCGCACGGGGTTGAGTGGGAAGGATCTCATCAGTGCGAAGAATAGGGCGTTGGGCAGACAGTTATACGGCAAGAAAGGGACGAGAGGCACGGTTGTGGAACATGGGCTCTTTCTGCAAGACCTCGAGGATACGGATACAGACGGTGATGGCGGCGGCAAGTCGCCCATGTCACCGACACCTCTGTTGTCCACGCCATCTCCTTCTTTCGCGCTGGCGGGCAAGGAGAAAACGTGGATGGCTTCTCCAAAGGAACATGAGGATATGGAGATCCGACCGCTGGCTAGGTCCGACACTGATCTTTCTATCCACGTCCTCAGCGACGAAGAACTGCGTAAGAGGTATCTGAGAGGTGTGGAGGAGGCGAGGCTGAGTCGCAAGCCGCTGAGTCGTGAGGCGACGCTCGTGGGGGAGGGGATGTGGGAACGAAATCACGGTAGCGAGAGACGGAGTCAAGATGATGAACCGAGTGCTTCAGGCAACGGATATCCGACAGAGAAAGAAGACGAGGCTGCGGACACATCGAACGATACAAGAGAAGGGAAGAGCGGGAAGGATAGAGGATGGAGGAATAGGCTGAAGAAAGCCAGACGGCCTGGTTGACTGGGAACATGGAGAGATGATACGAAGTAATGCATAATATGAACAAACGTATGATTGACATCTGGTACATTCAACAGGGAAAGCGGTTCTCATCGCGGACACAATCAGCGTCTTTGGACATGACATCAATTCGCCGCACTTTGCCCCGCCAGCTGACGTCGGAAACCTCTTTCGAGAAAAAGCTCAGAACATGGCTCCCAAGGATCTTGTTTTTGGTCTCCCAGTCTCTTCTCTCATGGGAGCCATGCCATTTTCTTTTGGTGATAACCCCAGACCCAGAGGTTTGAAGAAAGCAAGTAGTATCGCAGAAGGAAGATCTCTTATACCCCTCTCACCTCGCCATGAGCACCGCACTCATGACCGCTCTAAAGACGATGTTTCTGGCCGTCTGCTTCTCATGGTAATCTCGCCTCTTCTTTTTGATATCATGTGTAAAATTTCCATTCTTTTGAACAGTCAGAAGACCATGAGATACAGACGAAATGTCTTTAATAGAATAAGCTGGAGCGAACTTTCCCATCGGGATGACTGTTGTTTCTTTTGGAAGGCCCCGCTTCTCATATGTTATCTCTCCGCTTTTTTTGAGAACCCTTCAGAGTTTCGGTTGTAAAAAAGCAGCGAGAGGCGAAAAAGAGATCATCCCAGTGTAGTGTATGGATTTTGGAAGTTGAAGCAAGTCAGGCATGTAACAATTGGTAGCCGTTTTTGGTCGTCTGCTTCTCATGACCTAGCGATCTTGCGTTTTTGGTCTTTTGGAAAATGGAGAAGATGTTTAGAGGAAGAGTGAGGGAGAGCAGAAGAAGGGCGCTTTATATGTTCTGTCCGTCACTACCACGCGACTCTGCCGACACACTTGTCTGGACTTAGATGTGTGTGCCCGCGACGCGCACGCGAACATCCCAACTACTTGACGACTTTTTTTGACACGCTATAGAATGTACTGTTCCCATGCTTCAGGTGTATACATGATCGACTTGCGGATGAGGAGAGCGCAACACATCAGAGGTGTCCTGTAATGTTTCGTCCACGCGGGCAAAAGGCAGGACATGGTCAATTAGATACGGGCTTTCTGTCTCGACCAAAGTCAAGTCATAAGTAAGCTCAGCGATGCTTTTGGTAATTCATCTCGGAAAGGGTAGGTAGAGGGCAGGACAAAGAAGCAGAAGAGAAGTATTTCGAACACGCCCTGCTTCCGCCGAGAGCGGACATCGCATATTTGTCGAAACGTTTTGGAACTCAGTCTTCTCATGGAAGTTTGCGCATATCTTTTAGTATTTAGAAAACAGAGTATTGTTGATCAAGAATAGAGCAGAAGCAAAGGAGGGTGTATTTATATGCACCACGACCCGTTCCGAGGAACTCCGACATGACAGATGAAGAACATTGTTTTTCAAGTTCTCCACTTCTCATGCAGTCAGTATCTGTAGGTTTTTGTTTTGAGTTTAAATGTAGATGTATGAGAGAAGAAGACAAGAGCATAGGCAGAAAACAGAGTGTTTTATAGCCCAGCGCGACAAGTAGTGGTAATAAGAGTGAGTCTTTTGGTCGCCTGCTTCCCATGAACTGGTGGCCGAGCTTTTTTGGTGAGTATCTCGGGTACAGAGTGTAGGAAAGCAGAGGAAAGAAGACCATATGCTGGTGTTAATGCGATTTTGTAGCTAGGCGCGGCGGAGAGCGGACATTGCTCTTGCTCTTGCGACTTTTGATCTCTCACTTCTCATCAGTTTGGTTTGAGTTGCTTTTGGTCTTTTTCACGCAGTAATGGATGATGAAGAAGGCGTAGGAGGTATAGAAGAATAGCGGTATCCTAATATAGGTCGGGAATAGTCGAAGCAGGCCAGACATTAAGCCGCTCATTCGCAGTTTTGATTCTCGCCAATTCTCATGATCTCTCTGCTTATATTTTTTGGTTGTTTACATCGACGCAGAGTTGGATTGAGAGAATGAAGTGAGTGAGAGAAATGTTGATCTTATATACGTCTCTGGCATAGCTCAAAACAGGCAGGACGCACATAATCTGTTTAGGTATTGATTCAGGCTCTCCATTTTTGATTCCACGCAATCATGGCGTATTCATTCTTTTCCTCATGCAACTGTACTTCGATCCTTTGGATAGCTGCAAGTTCAAAAAACGGACAGGCACATCAAATTGAACCAGTGGTGATTATGACAATCGTTTTCCTCTTCCTCATTTTTCGCTAAATTCTCCGGGAATATGCCAACGCTAAATCGAATATTGAGAAAGAAGCAGAAGTCGCACACATAGCTTCATATGTTGGAGCTTTTGGAGGAACGAAGAGGTCGTATGCCTTAGGATGCAGGAACGTGCTCTTGAATGGTGAAGCTTTTATGCTTCCATTGTTTGTACAGTATAGTAGGCTGGCGGCGACGTCTCCAGAAACATGAGCAAACTTTACCCTGCTTTAGGGAAAAGGCTGAGAAGCAGACATCGTAATGTGCACTCTTTGATTTGGAGAAAGAGCGTAGATCTTGAAGTGCAGCAGGGAGAATTCTATCTTCGAATTGGGTCTTGGACGCGCTTTCATGGCAGCAAGACGATATGCCTTGATACTGCAGCGAACAGAGACATAGCTGGGAATTTTACGATTCTGGAGAGCCAGGCCAGAGACATGCGATTGAATCGAGGTAGTTTTAAAAGAGAGGGAGACGCAGACACCACGGAGCTCACATACGGTTCCGGAAAACGAACAAAAGCTTGTAGAATCAAATGTAGGAGAGAAGGACGGTAAGATATAGAAGGCGTTTTTATATCCACTTCCTGCAGCGGGGAGCAGCGGGGAAGATCATCAATGTAATCAAGCCCCATTTTTTGTTATTCTCGGCAATTTGATGATAGAATGTCTGGTTCATGTACGATAGCGATGACTTTTGGCTGTTCCGGAAAAAGGTAGGAGTGTTTGGAACGGTAGATCTGGAGTGCCTATAGCAACTGATGCATACGATTTTAGTCTTTTTCCTTCCAGCCATGGCATAGTAGCGATTACGTTTCGAGAGAAGAAGGAGGCGCCCAGGACATGAACTTGGCCCAATTTTCTTTTTAGTTTTGGTCCAGGATGTCGATGTGGTAGGAGAAAGGCCCAAGAAGAGCTGTATATATACCTGGCTGGCGCCCCAAAATCATCATACGAGCGCTTGATGTTTTTGGTGGGCCATATTATGTTGCTTCATGCCCTTTTATACCAAGACTATCGGGGAAAGCTCATCATCTTGACGGCCACCAAGTTTGGAAGACAGTGGTGGCTCATGAAGATCTCTTTGTGCTTCTTTGAGTAAGAACCTTGATGAGCACTCGTTCAAAGACGCCAAAGGCTGAACCATGAGTTCAAACTTATGACATTCGGAGTAGACCTTTGCACATTATTGAGGGCAGCGGACATTTTCGGGTGATAGATCGATCATGCATCACGCCTCTCCAGACTTGGAACCGAAAAGCGCAGGAGAGACAGCCATCGAGAAGCATCGAGCGAGTTTTGATATTTCAGAAGTAGAATTGTGTGATGAGAGAAGGAAAGGAGCAGGAGGAACGAAGGCTTTTATACCCACCATTTCTCGTTACATGAGAGCACGGACCATGCACATGGAGAGCTCGTAAAGCCAGGAGTCCAGAGGCCCCAGTATCTACTCCAATCCGGGCTGCGCTTCCGTGACATGGACTACAGGTTCGACAGCTGCATCTCCTCGTGCTCAGCATCTTCTTTTTGGCATCGCCGCTCTAATCGCGTCTTTCAACCACCCCGGCAACTCCTCAGCGTCCGATTTATCCCCGCTTGTTCCATTCTCAAACACCCTCCCCAGCCACATGCCTCTTTTCAACATATTCTGTTTATCTTCCTCCTCCTCGGCATCCAACCCTCCCCTTCCCTTCTCAACAAGATCCTCAAGCCACGCCCTAAACCCCGGATAAATATACATAGCCGCCACCCCTCCACTAGCCCACGTAACACACGCCCATTCCATCTCCTCCCACTCCTCTTCGCTACCCGCGAAATCCCTGATCGCGACCCTTACACTGTTCTTTTCGCGCTCCCCCAGTGTCTCATCGTCCAGCATCTTCTTCACAGCCTGCTTTATCGGCGTAATGGTAGAAGGCGGGAGAAGCCACGTATTGTCAATCTCCTGCGTACCGATCTCTAATGCACGGCCGATGAGGAAATGCTCTGTGACTTCGTCGCAAGCATAGGCCTTCTTAGTTGGAGGGGGTGCGAAAGGCCATTTATCCCATCGAGTGGGTAGGTCGAGCGTGAGGTCGGTAAAGTAGTCTTCTTCCGCAGGGTCGAGCCAGCGTAGTTTGTCGATGGGATGCAGAGGCGTCTGAAGGTCGCCTAGTGGGTGCCCCCAAGGAGAACCAAAACCGTTGCTGATGTTGAGGAAGGTCTTTTAGTCGGCTGGCAAGGTGGTGTTGAGCCGTGTTTCGGCTTCTTCAATCTGCGAGTCGGTGGCTGGAGAGTGAAAGAGCCAGGTTTCGGGGGGCTCGGGATTGACTTCTTTGGCTTCGGCATTGTATTTTGTATTGTATTCTGCCGCTTTCAAGAGTTCTTGCATGGACATATCTGCTCTCGTTCTAGTTCGACCATTTGTGAGTCGCTCGGTCAAAGCGTTCTCAAAGTCTTTTGCGAAGGTTGCGAGCGCTGCTTCATCGATGTTGAGTTGTTGTCTCAGCGCTCCACTTTTGTACAGCCTCCATGCCTGCCTGGACTCCATCGCTGGTTGAGTCTCGTACGACCGTTCTCCAAGACTGTGCGCTAGCCAATGCAGTATCTTATGGGATGTCCGGGCGCCCGACTTACGCTGTATTTCGCGCATGCCGTGCTGTTCATAGTGTGCCTCAACCGTTAAGACTAAGTCCAGCATGCTCACCAGCCCGCTTCTCGCATCTCGGATGTTAGGTGCCGGACGTGCAATCTCAAAGCTATGGATGACATCTATCGCACCATCGAGCATCTGAGAAGTGGTGGCTGAGCGATCGAGCTCGTGGGCATGGAATGCTTCTGCAAGACCTGGCCCTGGCATCTCAGTCGGGTAATACCATTTCGACGCAAACTCTTTCGCGGTAAACCGAAGCTGCTCTTCTACATCGTCTGATGTTATTGTTCCGTCGTTCCTGTTTCGAGCATCGTCGCTGCTGGTCTTGGCTCGTCTGTCCCTCACAGCCCGGCGCACCTTATCTTCCTCTCCATCAGGCCATGGCACACCATCTTCCTTCGCACGCAGATCCCATAGAAACCAAAGAGGCCGAAGGCTTCCGAGTCGGTCGTGGTAGAAGTCATAGTTGTTGAGTTTGCTTGTCAGGCGCGCTGCTACATCTGTGTAGCCGAGGAGAGCCAGCTCTGGAACGAAGCGCGACGTGTAGTCATAGAGACTATTATTGTCGCAACGTGATATGAGCGTTTTGAGAGCAGTGTTCGATGAGGAAGACATGATGGTGTGGCGAGAAGGTTTCCCGACGCGTCGAGGAGAGTCGCGCCGCGTGCGGAGGCGCGACTGACGTCATGTGGAGGATTAGGCGACCAGCAACATCACGATGAAGGAGAACACATGGAAGGAAAGGACTTGGTTGCGATTGAAGTTCTATTGGTCATTTTATGTGTGCAAGGAGAGTCCAACAAGGTTTGATCGTGCGCGCGACGATACATATAACCATAACCAAAACGGCAGAGCCCCCAGACCCAGACTCAGACCGCGAGCAGAGGCTCAATCCTACACTCCTCCTCTACTACTATTCGTTGTTGAAGTCACGATAACATCTACAGCGAACGAGGGCGAAACCGATCGCGGTCAAGGATGGCGAAGTCGTAAGCAAGCTGCTGTCGCGGTAGGTGACGCCAGTGTCTCACAAAAGTGACTAAGTGCCTAAGTAAGGGTTAGACAGTAGAAATGACAGTAGAAACGACTTGGGGTGCGAAGAATAGTAAGTGTGAACAGTATGTATGGCGTTGTAAATGTCTAGCGACAAACGAAACAAGAAAGGTAGACGGTGGAAATGAGTTGAGACACAAGGAAAGAAACGGTTGACAGTGGAAATGACTGAAAAAGCAAAAGAAACGCAGGAGAAACCTTACCATGGTAGCTGGATGTGTCGCGTCGAGGTAGTGGTGGTGGTGGCAGTCGTTGTGGTGGTGGTCGTTGTGGTGGAAACTGTCTGCGAACGGGTGGGGAGTAGAAGCGTTGGATTGCGGAGGTGGAGCGATATTGATATACGTGCGCTCGGCCTCCGGATCAACTACCGGCAGCGAGATAAGCGAGACTGGAGAATAGGCGGCAGTCATATTGTTGTGTCTGAGCTGAAGTGAGAGTGAAGACGGAGCGCGCGCACGCTGAAGAGCTGAGCACGGGCCAGAAAGCCGCCGGAGGGGGAGAGAAGAGCTCGAACTGGTACCGGCATTGGAAAAGAGGGCTAGACGTCCGACTTGTCAGTGAGTAGACGAGTTAGTCCAAGCTGGTAATGAGCCCTGTGACTTGGTGCATGGACACGTCCTTGTATTTACCAATTGTGATTACATATCCACGGGTATCATTAATTACAACCGCTCAAACAAAACAAATGAAAGAACTCTTCACATCGACCTCTCTCGTACCCTCGCCCCTTGCTTCAAGGGCGTCTCATCCCCAAACACACTCGGCGCCGGCGCATCATTGCTACTCCTCGAGCTGCCCTCTATGAAATCTTTCCTGTCGATATAATCTTTCCTGTCCTCATGCGTGATGTGTAGATCCGTCGTACACTGGATACCACCCAGCTCCAGACTCTCATCGCTATCAATTTTGCTCAGCCCCGCGCTGCGCATGTTCGTCGTGTTGCGTTTCGATCGGTTGGTCAGCTGAACCGAGTGCGGTTGGTGCGAGCGCGCGTTGGAGCGGGAGTGCGAGTCGGGACCGGAGGAGCTGTGGAATTCTTCGGGGTTCATGTCGTTTTGCGGCTTGCCTTGCGCGAGGCGGACGACGAGGGAGGCCATGGACATTTCAATGTTCAGCTTGACCATGTAGACGACGGGGTGGAATTGCACGTATACGACTTGGTTCTGGAGGAACATAAGACCGATGAGGAGGGCGTCCATGGCGATGGAGACAACCATTAGCTTGCCGTTGAAGCCTACCAGCGGCGCGTATTTGGTCAGGCCGTGTTGTTCGACGAGACGGATCTTGACAGTTCGTAGGAAGTACCAGTTCAGGCCTGCATCCACGATCAAGATGAGCACCTTGCTGACCTTGTCCCAGACGTTGTTGATCTTGACAAAGGTTTCGCTGATTGGCGGGACGGTGTGCGATGGGATCCAGATACAGAAGACGGCGATGTTGATGCTGGTGATGAGGACTACTGTTCCCCATTTGAGGTTGCGGATGGTACTTCGGTGTTCTGCGATGAGGGCAATGCGGTTGATGATGATTTGCATGAGCAGTTGGATCTCCCACACCCAGAAGAATAGGATGAAGAACAGGACCGGAACACTGTGGTCTTTGTCAGCTTCGACTCGTTTTCGTGTACTGTAGTGCCCGGGAACTCACGTCGGCCCAAGAACATCGTTTAAAAACAGCCATCCAATGATACCAATGATGACATTGACCAGAATTTCACCCCATATCATGTAGATGTAGGCTGATCGGAGGGGGCTGTGGTTTCGCCGGGTCTGCTTGACGGCCTCCCATACTGTCAAGAACCCGAACCCAATCGTGAAGCCGGCAGCCAGAGCAGCAAGCTGGAAGTCCTGGACGGTAGCCGACATTGTGTGGTGTAAGTAACGCCGAGGCTGGGGAAGGAGAAGTCGGTCAGAAAGGTCCTGATGTAGAAGGGCTCAGGGTCTCCAAAACACCCATATATCGCTACTGATCCTGGAAAGGAGGCACGCCCGCTGCAGAGAGCACGTTGCAAACTACCGATAAGTTCACCATGGGTGACTGACTAGCAATAGGATGGCATTAGTGGACGGGACGGCATGCACCGTGGAGCTGTCAACTTAGCAAGCGGCTTGGGTTGTCCTGCCATGCTCTAGCTGCCAATCACCACGTGTAGATGCTACCCGCTAGTAATTCCAAGTGTTCCGAAGGACCCTCGCTTGCGTTTGCGAGTAGACGTGCATTACGGAGTGGATCGGCTTCCTAGCTTGGTATCAACCAGCGGGACACTGCGCACTCTGGGCTCCGACGTTCAGAGCGCCACATGTAAGTTAGATCTGTCTCCTACCCGAAAGTAAGTGTCATCTTAAACCTTAAATTACACGGCTGACGTGTATCGTCGAACGTAACAAGAATATCGGGTTTTGTTAGTGTTGAAGACGATTACTATTCTCATCGGGTAGTGGACGGTCGCCGACTTCATGACATGTAAGTGATGATGAACATAGATGTCGCGATAATACCTCCGAGGGCTGGGATACTCAAGATTTTCCCAAGGTTGCCTTCCTGCGTGGGGCCGCGGATCTTCAGCGCTCATGGAACTCGTCGACGCGAATGCATGAATGCGCGACATCCGACTCCACACCAAGACGCAGAATCTGCACCGCCACTTCGTCAGTCGACCTCTCAGACGGATGGACAGCGCCCCTGCACTCCCACTTCCCTGCAATCACTGCAGAAAGCTGGGCGCTGCGGCTCAAGGTCTGCATTTGATATTCACCGGTGGTTGAGACGGAGTTGGTACACGTACAATGCTGATACCCGCATGAGACCACATCGATACATGGGGTCGACTCTGCTGGTGTATTCGGGGTACGATCGTAGCTTCCGTCGCTTCCCCTGATTACATGTGTGAGTATGACCGAGGAAGACCCGCAATTATTCAAGACGATGGTTGCAATTATTCCCGTCCAAGATGATGCTGAGGTGTTGGTGGCCGACATTGACCGAATGGCAATGTGCAGAGTCATGGAACATCGTATGAGGATTCTGGCTCAGCTGACCATAATCTGCAACCCAACTCTTGTGAAAATACATCCACGTTCTGCAGGTCGCAAAAGTAAACCTATGTGGCGTTGTCTCTTGAGATCCAGTCTTCTGGAATTCTTCCTTTCCAATCGGTGCTTCTCCGGTTTCCGGCAATCTGGCCAAACGCGTCCCTGCCACACGGCTCGCGGTCCGTGCGCAAAGTCTGTCGCTACCCGCAGAGAGCGGGCTTCGAGAGGCCCGGACCAGATCTGGAGGATGAGCCGCATCTTAGATGGACCGAGGATGCGCTCGTATCGCGCAATTGATCTCATCGCGTCCACCTGTACTTGGGGTCCGTCGGAAGATGTGTCAAGGCAAAGGATCGCCACCAAGTCTGTTGATGGAGACAGGCATCAGCTGGTATTGGCAAAGTCGGCGAGCTGGAGCCCCGAGCCTGGCGTGGCGGATCAGCGGGCAGTCGAACTAGGCACGGGACAGTGGTGTGTAGCCTGAGAACGGCAGATTGCATATAGAGCGAAAGAGGAAGTACATACAGTATAAGGTTTATTTGACACTCAGATGCCGTGTTCGTTCTGCGCCTGTCACACCTAGTTCACGCCGTCGTCTATCGCTTCCTCACTCCCGTTGCCGTTCACAGCACACTGGTAAACTTGCGATCAGTCCTGCGCATCGATGCCGAACTCCTCTTGAACTTCGACTATCCGTACGCCCCGCTGATCCGCAATAAGGCCCATCAACCCCTGACCCACATCTTTCAGCTCGTTGTATTCGTGTAGTAATTTGATGTGCTCTTTCACGATTTTGTTTGCGGCTGCCATGACATCAGTCTCAGTAGGTTCATCGCTAGCATCGCCTGATTCGGCATCTGAAAGGGCATTCTCTTCCATCAGCACTTGGATCGCTGGAAGCGCACCGAGAGAAGCCAAGAGTGCAGCTTTTTGGGCTCTCAGATTGTCAAGAGTGATTTCCTGTGGTGTTCTCGATGGAGGTATTGGGATGGGTAATGACAAGCGTTGGGCGTCAGCGTGTGGTTGGGCATGGGTAGATAGTTGAGCGATTGGTGAACCAGCACCAAAACTTGAGCCTGCGCTCTCTCTCGGCAATGCCACTTCTTCTGCGGATGGTTGCTGGTCCGCGGATGTGCTTCGGGAAGTTTGTTCCTGGCCGATCTCAGAGCTAGATCCGTTTTCGATCATGGCAGCTTCGCTAGTGTTGATGTGCATTCGCGCATCAGGAGGCGTATCTTCAGTGTCTTGAGCCCTATGGAGCGTGGAGCTGGTGTAGTCGTCCGGCATGGTCGCAGCAGGACCTGCGTCGCCTGACGAGCCTAATGCAATCCTTGTCGTATTCGACTGCATGCTGGCGGCTGCTGAGGTCGGCCGAGATCGGTCCTAACGTATGTGAGCGCGTGAACTTACAAAGTATTGATCTAGGACAGACTACGTTGTCGCTCATGTGTCCATCTACCGAATGATGCTTTACAGCTCGACCCGAATCATCTTTCGACTCACGAGGCAGACTGGCGAGTGTGACAGTACTTTGCGATTGACATGTTGACCCGTTTGGGAACTCAGAATCGACGCTGAACTCTGATGGAGCGAGAGCAGCAGCACCTGGTACCTTCAACGGCGCATCCGCCATTGTGGATTGAATAGCCTCAGCTACTTCCTGTTCGGCAGAAGATGGATTGGCATGGCTTACAAGTGGCTGCTGTTCGTCACCGCGGGCTGAGGGGTCAGATTCGACATCCTTGGCAACTGGATCCCCGTTTTCAGTTGGAGCGACCATCACTTGAGGCCCATTTGACATGTCTTTGGTCGTCGATACTGGCTTTTGTGGATGTATTTGTGTATGGAGTCCCAGGCCGTGGCTGGCACCTTCGACAGTCGCTCCTTCCTCATTTTGCGCTGCAGTGGTCTCATTGGGTATCATGTTAGTCTGATCAATTCTCGACGCGTCGACATCAACTGGAGAATCGGTGGAATCGGCGCCCAAGACTTCGTTTATGCTGGCATCGCGTTCGGCGAATGCTTGTTGGAGGCCATCTACCTCGCGCGACGCGTCTTGTCGCTCTTGGTACGGAACATTGGACACTGCGCAATGCTTGTCGCCCGCTTCATCCGGAAGAACACCAGGTGACGACGTCATCAGATCATCATCCGAGTCCGCGATTTCGGTGATGCCCTTCTCGAAAGTCATGTCGTGAATGGCGAAGCTGGAGCTGCAGGGCGACGATGGTGTCGGAGATGATGGTGTTGATCGCCCGGTCGGAGTGTGGCGGAAGCCAATGACAGTGGCGCCTTCTGTTCACGTAAGCACGAGATTGCGACAACGCCTGCAAGGGAAACAATGAACACACTCGCCTCCCCATTCGGTCCCACCTTAGCACGCGTCTGATGCTATTGTGAAACTCTCAACGCTGCAGATTCCACGATACTCACCTGCTCGTGGCGCCAGCTGCAGCGACCCGAATCTTATTCAGAAATACCCACGGCGAAATGGGCCTCCCTACAAGAGCGGCCCTTGCGGCGCTGCTTTACACCGCAGCAGTCACAGCTCACGACCACGATATGGATGCGATCCCAGATGGTGATGCCATATCACCTGACCCAATAGTGGGTTGACACTTCGACCACCCTGGTTGAGGCAGCAAGACTGATGGTCGATGTAGGACTCAATACTATGGACGCACATCTTGATCCAAACGGTGGCTTGGGGCATCATCTTCCCCACTGGTATGGTATTAGGAGTAAGTTACCTCCAATCGAGAACCAAGAGCATCAGCTGACAGCAAGGCTAGATAATACGATCCAAATGGCACGTCCCGGTACAATCTCTCGGAACCGTCCTCGCAATCATCGGATACTTCCTCGGCCATAGACACAAGGGCAGGCAGTTCACCGACAACATCCACAGCCAGTTTGTCCCTGTCATCATGCTCATGTTGGTGTCCCAAGTCGCTATGGGCATCTACCTGAAGCTACACCTGGAGAAAGGCTTCAATGGGAAGATACGGCGCGTGGTAGTGAAGGCGCACGGTGTTGTTGGAAAGGCTATGCCAGTGGTCACCTGGGTGCAGTTCCTCTTTGGAGGAATTACTGCACTCGGCTTCTGCAGAGCGGACCACACCGGACAATGTCTGGCGCACTTCATTATGGGCAGCGCCTTCATCGCATACGGCATTATTCTCCTGATTCTACTTCTGGTTGGACAGATGTGGCTGCGGAGGACCGGAAGGAGCCAGGAATTCTTCGACTCGCTCGTCATCGCCGCCTGGGGTTGCGTCAACACGTTCACCGAACACCGCTGGGGAGGACCGTGGGTACACAACGACCTTCAGCACACATCGATGGGCATCGTATGGTGGGCTGCCGGACTGGTCGGTGTCTGGCTCAGCCGAAAGCGCAATGGACAGCCGAAGCGCAACCTTATCCCCGGTATCATCATCTTGATGACTGGTTGGGCCATGTCTGCGCACCCGCAACATCTGCCAATCTCGACTATGATTCACACCATATTTGGCTACACCCTCATGGCCGCAGGTGCCGCGCGTATCATCGAGATCTCATTCGTGCTCAAGGACCGCGCTTCTGTCGCAACCGATGGCTCAGACCCGAACAGCTTCCAGTACCTAACACCGTTCCTGCTCATGGCGGGTGGGTTCATGTTCATGGGTGCTACCGAAGAGCAGATGAAGCTGCTATCCGACGCGAACGTCACGCATGTGTCGTATGTGCTGATTCTGTACAGCATCGCTTTCTTGCTGTTCCTTTGTAAGTCGCCCGACAACATTCACGACTATCTGAAGCTAATCCATCTTTAGTCGTCAACATGCTCATCCACCTCTACGCCGTATACACTTGGGAACAAGACGACAAAGCCGATGCCGAAGCGCCCCTCACGAACGGTCACGCGAATGGACACATCAATGGATACACAAGGGTCGATCGTCGAGTGAGAGACGCCGAGGAGTTCGAATTGGAAGGTCTTGACTCAGACGACGACGATGAAGATTCATCGCGTCCGAACAAGGAGCATAGATCCCTGGCTGCGCAACATTAAGCCGCTTTTCTTTCTCGTTGACATGGACGCATAGGGCATACAGGAATACACGCATTTTATTTTGATAGGCGGATCAGTCTATGCAGTACATCGCCGCGGGATATTCCATATGATAGGGTGGCTGCATATGTGTCCTCCACCGATGAGTGTGAGATCGTTGTGAGTGGTTGCCCACTGCCAGCCTGACATGCACGCGCTGCGCCTCAGCCTCAGCCTCCCTCATGCCCCGCTCCTCTCGTGTGCTTTCCTTCCCCTCTCCTTCCATCCACGTTCCGTGCATCGAGGTCTGCGATGGCAGACCCATTTTCCATCACCGGCAGCGCCGTCGGTGTCGTTTCCCTCGCCATACAAGTCTGCAAAGGCCTGGAATGGTACCTCAGTGGCGTCAAAGAAGCGAAGAACAAGGGTGAACAGATCGCCGCGGAAACGGAGGAACTCGCCAACCTTCTCGAACAACTTGAATCTGTCATCGGGAAGGTGGATCCATCCCAACCAGTATCAGCAACACGCACCGGCATCGTGTCGTGTGCGAATGCGATCGCGACTATTAGGAAGAAGCTCAAGCCGGATGACCAAGCAGCGAGCGGTGGGATCAAGTCGAGCTTGAAGAGATTGACGAAGCGGCTGGCCTTTCCGTTCAAAGAAGCTGACATCAAATACTGGAAAGATGTTCTCAACACCATACAGCAAAGTCTACAGACTGCGCTACTCGCCCTTGTCATCGACCAACAGAGGTTGGCTTCTGAGATTGCTCGGTTGCACTACACCCAGCTATCCATGGACCAAAGCATACATCACTTCTCGAATCTACAGCTGCAACGCGATGTATTCGATGCGACAAGTCTTCAGCTCGCTGGACAGTCACAAATGCTCGAATCGGGATTCTCCGCTACGTCGCACAGTGTTCAAAATCTTCACGCCGATTTTCGGAACTTCAAAGAACAACTTTTGCAAGCTGCATCAGCGAAAAGCACGACGCTGGACGACGATCTTGTGAGCCTTAGGGGCGTTCAGCGAAGAACGCGAAAGTTGCAACGACGCTCCGACGCAATTCCATGTACATGCCAACCACAGACCTCTGCACTTGGATATATATCGAGAATTCTCACTGTTGCATACACCCAAAGATTTGTTCATGACCCTCAGTGTCTTCGTTACTCGCTTCCGGACATATCAACCGATCTGCAGTTCAAGGCTACCCTGTGTAGTCTGGTTCTAAAGAGGAGGATCTCGCTTTCGTTTACCAGGCTCAACAACGCTGGATTCACGCAGACTCTGCAGTGTCATCGAATCGTTGGCTGGAATTCTCCTGCTTTCGTGTTTGTCGAAGCACTCGTTGATTCTAGCATGGACACGCCAATGAATATCTTTCGGGGCGACGTCGAGAAACTGTCTAGGATGTTCCAGCTCAGGCAGGCGTCACCACATGATCGGCTAGCAAATGGATCGACGCTTCTACATGCATGTTACAGCCCTTATCTTTACGCAATGAAAGCTGACTACCCATATAGAAATTTTGCAACTGCGTTGCCACTTCACGTTCCGAAGATTGTGCCGACACCTCTGAGAACCTTACTTATCTGTTCAAAACTCTCCTTTCAATAATGCCAAGCGAAGCTTTCCAGACGGACGATAATGGGTTGTAAGTTGACGTTGACCTTTTTTCTAAATGAGCCTTACTATCACTTCGTGGTGCTGTCGTACCGCCTCGAAGTGTGACAACGCTAAGCATAGACAGTACATGTATCGACCAATTGCTTCTATATCACGCCTCTGTGCAGTACAGGGGCTTCCACACAAGTCTTCTAAGATCACTATTCGAACAAGATCTCCAGATAACTGGGGCTATGTTCAAGAGAACAGCGTTCAGCAGCCAAGAGGGGTTAGCATCCTTGGCCGACATTCGCTACGAAAGTTTCATCAGTCCATTACTAGATGACAGCGAGTTACTGGACGCGACTTTTACGAAATCGGACCATCAACTCCAGGAGGTCTTACATCAACCCAGGTATTCACACACTCTGGATGCCAAAACGCTCACCAACGCCCTAATCATTTCTACCATTACTGGCTGGATGGATGGCTGCAGAGCCCTGCTCAACGCCAACTTGGTTGAATATCTGGAAGACCCTAGCTCTGATGCGTGTCACCCCAATCAAACTTTACTCATGTTCTCAGCCGCTACAAATCGACCGGACATGTTGCAATTTTGGTTGTCACAAAGGGACACGCGCGATGGACCACTGCTCAATTTAATTGGCCACTTCGAGGACGCGCTTCAACTCAAGTGGCCGCTTCACTATGGAACCCCCGATGCTGACGTTATCCGGCTCGTGTTAAGTCATATCATCAAGCAAAGGCACGAGCTCAAGCTACTGATGGAAAAGCATGACATCCAATATTGTTGTGAAAGCGCTCGAACAAGCTTACCAGATGCACATATGGGTTGCATTCTCACTGCACTTGCAAGTAAGGCGGTAGACGTGCCCCCACGTTATTGGCCAAAACGGAAAAGCCTCTATCACATGCCACACATGTGGAAATCCCAAAGACTTAGTGTACTCGAAAGTTTCGAACTGGCCAGCATTTGTGAGATCAGTCAAGAGAACTTCACGTGCAATAAGGATACAGCCTGCTCGCCATTGGTTTATCTGGCCACGCAATACATGGAGGGTATCGGATCAGGGTGTTTGACCGAGCGTAATTTAGTAGTTCGATGGCTTCTCTCAAGAGGCGCGAATCTGAGAGAGACATGGCCAGGAACGAACATCACTGCTGTACATTGTTTGGCTTGGCAATCTGCTGAATGTCTGAGGACTGAAGTCATGGGCACGACTTGCGATGATTCTACTATCATGGGCTTTTTTTGGACGTACGAAGACTATGAGTTTCTTGTGAAAGAGGAGATATTTGACCAATGCGAATGTGGATGTAGCAGGATTGGGTGCGACTTTCTCTCATGTTTTTGGAAGGGGATATTTGCGAACAGTTGGTCGTGTCCGCAATTCCCTCTCATCTGCGAAAGATTCAAGAACACAATTTCAGCGAGAGATTTGGGAAACTTCTGGGTTTATGCACCTGACGACTACGTCGAGTTATTATATTTTCTCATGACGGGAACATTCCTCGATCTGACCCTGTGGGTTGACAGAGCGGCAAGCACACTCGGCCTCCCTCGACTCATCCATCAATATATCCGCCTGTTTGCGTTCTCATACTTGGAGATAAGACACACCTGCTGCGACATTGGTCGCATCGAGCACGAGGACGATCCTGATTACAGCATACAACCATACCCTCGGTATTCTCCAAAGGAACTACGGCGCATAACCAACGAGGACGCACATCTGCGCGCACGACTGGAAGAGCTTGTACCCGAGCTTATCTCTCAATACGACTCTTTTGGGGGAAAGCTCCAAGACTTTGTCATCGACGTTCTCATTCCAACGATGCGCAGAACTGTGAAGGAGTTGAAAGAGGAAGACAAAGCACTGTATGCGGCAGGGCGAAGAGAGCTGGGCGTTATCATGAACGAGGATGAAGAGGAAACGGAAGGGGAGAGTAGTGAAGTGGAAGAGGAAGAAACGGACGTCGAAGAAGAGTCGGACGACGAGTACTGAGATGATCTCATGTACTATGTCTTTCGTCAAATTCTGACAGTGCGTAGGCGTTTGTGTATGAGCAGCAGAATTTACAATTGGTTTCAATCGCTTTAGCTATTATATATGCATCGGCAAGAGCAACGCAACACTGAACATAGTCTTGCACATATATTATTAGATATTACAACAGTCTTCAAGCTACTGCCAGCTCCTCCTCGGCGCCACAAATCGTTCGTCGGGGTATAATGCACCAGAAAATCCACCTTTGTCGCTCGAAATTCACTTTTTGGTCATCATCGGTTCGTCGGTTTTATCCCCCTCTTCCTCTTCCTCAGTTTTCGTCCATATCTCGTCTTCTCCACTCTCTCTACTCCTCCCCACCTACGACGCCTTTCCGCCAGTAGTGTTCGCTGCAGTCGCAGTGCCGCATCCGTAGCTAGCCATGTACGCAGCGTTGACGCTCTTGTGGTGCTCAACAGCGTGTCTCTTAACGCCCTCCCACATCTTCTTGATGCTGAGGTTGAGCTTGTGCTGTGTCTTCTCTTCCTGATTGACGAAGTGGTGGGCGTCGTGTGCTGACTCGTGGGATTGGCGACGAGATTGCGAGAAGGGTGTTGTGGGGATAGAAGAAGATGGGGTTGAAGCGGAGGAGAGCGAGAGAACGCGCGGGTGGCAGTCGAAGTTGTTCATTTTGGTGGCTGGTTGTTTGATTTGGGAACACCGAAGATGTATGGAGAGTTTGGTGGAGTTGAAGATGAAGATTGAAGTGTGGTAGTAGACTTGATAATAACTTGATGCTGATGCTCCTCCACCCAACCCACCACCCCACGCCTTATATACCCCATGGCACCACGAAGAAATTTTCCACCCTTTCCCACCGCCAGCCAAACGATCGTGAGATCTTGGACACACACACTCCACGTGCACCGTGACTGATTTTTCGCAAAGGTCGCACATGTGGGTCTAGCAAGGTAGCATCGCCTCGCGCTGGTTACCACCGAGTGTCTAGAAGCCACAGGACGCACACCGGAAGACGTCATCATAATACCCTTCGCATGTGCCCTGACTAAACCTCTTCTGATCAGAATCAACCCAAGAATAGGTAATGCACATGGCATGATCTCCGTTAACCGCTTAGCTCCCGCGAGGCTCTCAGGAGAACGTGGTGAGAGGCGTTGTCGGCTGGCGTCGGCTCAGCCTCAACAGACTTTTTATACCGCAGGGTCCCACTGCGACAACCATCACGTTCTTGACTTTGACACACGAGTTACCTCTAAAGGCTATTTCGTGTGTCATAGTCGCTGTTTGCGCAAAATTGCATGTTTCGTCGTGCCTGGAAGAAAGAGAAGGATTGGTCGTTAGTTAAGCCGCGCCCTATCCTGGTAGGGCGTACGGCTCAACGAAGTTTGGTTGCGTGAGCTGGAATGTTCGCGATGGCGCACGTGGATTCGCGGTTGATGGCTAGACTGATGTTCAGGTGCTGAGCATGTGAATGCACAGACTCGGAATACATTTGCGGAGTGGTTGTGCGGAGGGCCGGTTGCGAATGTCTCGCGGGCGCTAGCAGGACGTGATGTTTGCCATTTCCGTCGGATAGCCTTTCCGTTGGAAACATTGAGTATCGCCTCACCGATTCTTTCACACCTTGCAAACCTAGACGAAAGGTATGCCATCAATTCGAAGTTGCGGCAATTACGCCGCGGCGGTGCGACCTTTGGCGACATGCTGGCCTGATCATTCATTGGCTCCAAACAACTTTTGGGGGCAATGATTCCTATTCCAAATCACCACGACTATGACCTAGCCGTATTCCTCAACGTCTTCTGTATACAAGCACAAAGCTCCGGTATCCTGAACGGTTTACTTATCACATCGTCCATTCCCGCCTTCAACGCCACCTCTACCTGCTCGCTCCTCACATTAGCCGTCACCGCGATGACCGGCACGTGCGCTCGAACAACGCCTTCTTTCTGAAGCTCTCTGATATTCCTAACGCAGGTCAACCCATCCATGACAGGCATCTCCCAGTCCATTAGGATGAGTGCGAGTGGCTTTCCAGAGCCATCGGAGATGCAGTACTTTGTTGTGCGCAGATAGTCAAGAGCTTCACCGCCATGATTCGCGACCGCGACCTGCATACCCGTGTTTCGTAGCTGCTTGGCCAGAACGCGCTGGTTTACGAGGTTGTCTTCGACGATGAGGACGTGCAGGTCTTTGTTGGGTATGTCGTTCGCAGGAGTGGGGGCTTGGGGTGGTTCGTCCGATTCGTTGCGCGATCGACTTGAAAGCAGCGTCTTTTGCGCACGTATGCTTAAGCTAACGGCTGCGTCGCTTTCCGACCGGTTAAAGTTGGGGCGAAGGGTGCTTCTACGACTCTTCACGTAGAAGGAAAATGTGCTTCCGACGCCGGCTTTAGATGCGAAGCCGATGGCGCCGCCGTGCATCTCGGTAAGCTTTCGTGAGATGAAGAGACCCAGACCGGAGCCACCTACAATACGTCAGCGAGTCGTTCAATTGCCTTCGAGGTTCATAATCACCATAGTCGATATGTGTGCGCGGAGACGCTTGCGAAAAGCGTGCGAAAAGGAGCTGGTGTTCTTCGTCGCTCAAGCCACGACCCGTGTCCTGCACGGAGAAGATGATGTAGACCTTGTTGCGTTAGTGAAAGACCTGAGACATGGCCTTCAACAACAGCTTACTAGCTCGCCCTTCTCCCAATCTGCTTGTAGAGTCGCTGCTTCTGATGTTTCCGAACTACGCGAGAATGGCACGCTGAAACTGTGGGTTGGCTGCTTTAGGGAGACGCCCAGACTGACCCTGATCTCGCGTATCTCTTCTAGTCGGGTGAATTTGATCGCATTGGTGATAAGGTTCTTACTTGTCAGCGGAAGCACCTCAGTATGTCTCACGTACTTACGATAAGTATTTGTAAGACCCTTGTAGGGTCTAGCGAAACAAGATCAACCGCGATCTTTTTGCATGACTCTTCGAGCTGGAATCGCAAATCCACACCAGCTGACTTGGCTTCACCTTCGAACATCTTCACCGCGTCTCTCGCGATGGAGTCGAATTTGACATCGACTGGGGTCATTACAAATAGACCTGAGTCCAGTTTAGACATGGTAAGCACGTCGTCCACGATAGTCTTCATGTGCTTCGAGCACTGCACAATGGTTTCGGCAGCGTCAACGGTATGCTCCAATATAGTCTGGTAGACCTTCTGATAATCCGTCGACTTGCTGAAGTTCTTGTGAGCCGAGATAATACTATCTGCACACTGAACGATCGCGGACAGAGGATTTCGCATCTCGTGTGATGTCGTGTCGATGAAGTTTTCCAGACTGCGCTTAGATTCCCGAGCCCTCGTCGCCTGGGTAGCCTGAAGTTTCTCTCCCCATTTCTGCTGACTGTTCAAAGCCTTTAGTTAAGCATAGCGAGATGAAGGAATGACGTACCTGATGTCGGTACAGCAACCGATGATCTCTACTACTTCTCCATTTTCATCGAGCTCAGGGAAGATAGATGTGATGACCCACATTGGCTCCTGTTCGGGGAATGTATCATCCATATGCTGGGTAGGCGCATTCCACCGCTTCTTGAGACGCAACTCAAATGATCTGGTCATAGTAAGCTTTGTCGTACGTCATGACGTACCTATCACTTACTGATGCTGTTTGGTCTCGACAAGTTCCTCAAACTTTGCTTGTCCCATTTCGACGAAGTCATCGTCGATAAGCTTACTCCACGCGTCAGCGAGATCGGTTGCAGGATCCACTGGACCAAGCATCTCAAACCAAGCTTCATTCCTATACGAATAGACCCCGTCCATTCCTATGAGAAAGATGCCAATGTCGGCTCGCTCTGCGAAGCGTTTGAATTTGGAGAAATTGCGCTCAGACTCCGCTTGGGACAGAGTCAACTGTTCCTTTAGTTGCGATTTCATTGCTTCCGCGTTTGCGATAGTGCGTTCTCGACGCCCAATGTCCTCTTCATGGAGTAGAATTGATGTTAAGCAGGTAGAAAGCAGGCGACTGGCGACCAGTATGAACTGGAGATAATCTTCGTCAAATGGCCGACGGGGATTAAGCCCAATGACCATGAAGCCAAGGATATTGTCTTTTGAAGAAGTCGGGTTTAGAGGGCAGATGGCTGCCGCTCGGCAGGGATCACCGAAGCCCTGCCACTCAACGTCCTTGACCAACGCTGCCGCCACAGGATCCTGGTCGAACCGAATTATGATCGGCTTCCGGGCAGTAAGAGCTTGGCGAAAGTATGGAGTAAAGCCATGGTCTTGTTGGAAGTCTAGATGATCGGGACCTGCGGGCGACCCTTTCGGGAGACCGAATGAGCCACGAAGCTTGCAGTGTTGTTGGTTCGTATCGGAAAAGCGCGTCCTACTCGACTCGGACCCATGTCCGTCTGCTTCAGCCGAATACAATAAGGCGAACGGAATATCTTTATCGTTGCGGGATAGAACTTCGGTGGCGAGAACCCAGTAAGTATCCGTATTGCGCGCTCTGGGAATCTCTTCGCTTAGCTCTAGGAGAACGCGCGAGCGTCTTTGTGCAATGACCTGTCTGGTCTACGCGACTGTCAGCGGATTGCACATATGGCTTTGAGCTTCAGACATGGCTTCCAAGAGTCGCAAGAGCGTATTGATGCGAGAGCCCATGCTTCCATGAGCACCTCATCCGTACGTGGCGTCAGATGCGCCACTGGAGTACCAGGGGACCAAACAATGCGGTGAAAGTGCAAGAGTTGCAACATACCGTTTCTACCAGGGGCTCATAATGCCCAACTGTGATACCCTCAGCATCTAATATGGGTATGAACTTTAAGGAAAAGTACGTCTCTTCCATGAAACCGCTGCGCACCATATGTATAGAAGTGTTCGTCTTTTCCACGGTTTCTCCTGCGAGGTTGGTTTGTATGATGGGTTCAAAATACTGGTCCCAGACTGAAGCAAGAGCGACGCGAGCGCTGACTCCCATGCAAGGGTGGAAGCCACCCAACAGCTC